CCACAAACTCACATGCACTGATTGCAAAACCGTTCCTATGGGGACCTTAAGGGAACCCCCTACTGCACCCCACTGCCACGCCGGGCTTAGGGCTACGGTTGGGGCCTAAATTAGAAAGCAGGTACGGCTTCACAGGGTTGGGGAGGGGTGTCTTCGTTGGCCAGGACCCCCTCCCCACCCTTCCTGGCCCCCTGCAAGACATGCAAAATCCTAAACCCTAAAACCCTTTTGGGAGTGACCCCCTGCGCCCATGAACTAGGGCGGTACACACACACACACTCATAGGGATATGCCTCTGTGGGCTTGTCAAACCTTTTCATTTTCATCTTTCATCTTTGGTCTTTTCATTTCTTCCTTCAAGCTCTCTTTGTTGCAATGCTGGCTCAACAGTGGCAGCAACACCACTGATGGATCTACTTCCTGCACTTCACGAACGGACATGTTTGTTACGCACTCCCTTGCATCAACGCTTGGCCACGATGTAAGCAACAGCTGTTTAAGGGTATTTTGGGAAGGCCCGCAGGTACGTCAGCTTGGCGTCCCAAGCTGATTTCACAGGAAAGCAGAAAGGTCTTCGTTGGTGCCAGCCTTCTGCAATCCCCTGGCGCCCCCTGCTTTTGCATTTCTTCACTGCAACAAACGCATCCATAGACTTTATTAGCAAGTACAAAATCTGATCCCCTACTTTGTCTTTGTTCAACATCAACAAAAGTATCAACGCTCTCAATTGATTGGCACAAATCCTATTCCAAAACACCTCTTCCTCATTGATCAATTTATACTCTTAGAAACAGAGTTTCCACACACACACACACACACACCGCCCAGACAGCAAAAAAAATCTCTCCCCCTCCCCCACCGCCCAAACAGCAAAAACAAAACACTCCCTTCCACCGCCCGCCCGAACAGAAAAAGAATGCCCGCCGTGCAAAAGCAGAAAAATAGACCCTCTTCCCTCACCCCACATACCCGCCCAAACAGCACAAAACAAACACGGCCCCCGCCCAAACAGCAATGTCCCTGGCCATGCATTTCACGGAACAAGGGCTCGGACGTGGGACATCCAGATTTTTACACACGATCCTGCTCTTGCGCGGCGTCCTCCCACACTTGCGTGTTCGCATTTTCACTCCACAATGAGCTCTCCCGGGGAAGTACATCTTCTGATCTTCGTCCATGTTTTGCAAGTGGGCGGGGTGCTGCGCCCCCGCCAGCCCGCATAATGGTAGAATTTTCGCGCGGCCTCGCGCCTCCGCGTCCTGCGGCCCGCCGCCCGCGGCTCGCAGACCGCAGCCTACGTGTTTAATGTGTAGCAGAAATTAAGATGCTCTGCAGAATCCTAGGTCGCTAGGTTTCCGCAACCTCCAGAAATCCAGGGTTTAGGATGTTGAGGCTTTTGAGGGATTAGGCTTTTAGGGTTTGGGGTCGTTTAAGTTATAAAGCGTTTTTGGGCTTTCGGGGTTTGGGATCTAGGAATTTCATGGTTTAGGATTTCTAGGCTTCTAGGGTCTAGGGAATTTAGGGGTTTTAGGTTTTCGGTGTTTAGGGTTCTGGGGGTTTGTAGGATGTAGGGTGGTTAAGGGTTTTAGGTTTTCACGGTTCAGGGTGTTGACGGTTTTTAGGGTGTTTAGGGTTTAACGGGTTCACAGGGTTTAGAGGGTTTTGGGTTTCAGGGTGAGGTTTTTGTTTAGGGTTTCGGGTTGTTAGGTTTTCAGGTGTTTAGGTGGTGTTTCTAGGGTTTAGGGCGTTATATACGGGTTAATAGGGTTTAGGGGGTTTAGGGTTTCAGGTTAAGGTTTTTTTTGGGTTTAGGGTGTTTGGGCTTTTGATGATTTACGGTTTTTTGGGGTTAGGGGTATTTAGGTTTTTAGGGTTTAGGGCTTCTGGGGCTTTTAGGGTCCAGGGCCAGGGTGTTTAGGGGTTTTGGGTTTTGAGAGTTTGGGTTTTTGTTAGGGTCTGGGGTGTTTAGGGGCTTTAGGTGGTCAGGGTTTAGGTTTTTTTGTGTCTTCAAGGCTTGGGGCTTTTTAGGGTCTAGGGTGTTTAGGGTGTTTAGGGCTTACGCTTTTTAGGCTTTAGGTAGGATTTAGGGGGCATTGGGTTTCAGGGTGAGGCGGCCTGAGTCCGTCCCGCGGCCCGCAGCTCGCGGACCGCGGCCCGCAGCCTACGGGGATAAATTAAGGTGCCCTGCAGATGTCGCTAGGTTTCTGCAACTTCCAGAAATCCAGGCATGTTGTTGATGTTTAGGGTCTTTAGGGTTTAGGGTGTTTAGGTTTTGAAGGATTAGGCTTTCAGGATTTGGGCGTTATAAAGCGATTTGGAGCTTAGGGGGGTTGGGGTTTTCAGGGTGAAGGGTTTTTAGGGTTTGCGCTGTTTCGGGTTTTTAAGTTTGACGCTTTTGGGCGTTAGGGATGTTAAGGGTATTAAGGGTTTACGAGTTTTAGGATCTAGGATTTTTAGAGTTTAGGGCTTTTAGGGTCTAGGGAATTTAGTGGCTTTAGGTTTTCAATGTTTTTGTGGTTTTTAGGGTGCAGGGTGTTTAAGGGCTTTAGGTTTTCACGGTTTATGGTTTTTAGGGTTTTCAGGGTTTAGGATTTTGTTGGGCTTACGCTTGTTAGGGCTTAGGGTGTTATAGGATTATACGGGTTCACAGGGTTTAGAGGGTTTTGGGTTTCAGGGTGAGGTTTTCGTTTAGGGTTTCGGGTTGTTAGGTTTTCGGGTGTTTAGGTGGTGTTTTTAGGGTTTAGGGCGTTATATACGGGTTAATAGGGTTTAGGGGGTTTAGGGTTTCAGGTTAAGGGTTTTTTGGGTTTAGGGTGTTTGGGGTTTTGAGGTTTATGGTTTTTAAGGTTAGGGGTGTTTAGGGTTTTTAGGGTTTTAGGGTTTAAGGCTTCTAGGGCTATCAGGGTCTAGGGCGTTTAGGTGTTCAGGGTTCAGGGTTTTTAGGATATCTAGGTTTTAGGGTTTAGGGTTTTTAGGGTTTTGGGTGTTTCGGGTTTTTGTGGTTTAGTTTTTGGGGGTTTTAGGGCAGCCTGCGCCCGCGACCTGCGGCCCACGGTCCGCGTGCCCGCGGCCCACGTATCCCGCAGCCCGCGGCCGCACCTCCAGGGCAAAAAAAGAACTATACCCCCACCCCCAGATTATTTTGTAATGCAAGTAATATCTGTAAAATTTGTATTCTTATTTTGATTATGCTGATTAGTGTGATTACTTTCATGACTAGTATTGCTATTTATTGCTATTACGGCAGGGGCCGGCCCTGCCACCTTCGTAGCAAACAGCAGGAGAGCAATAAGAACGCGGCGCAGCAAGACTTACAGTGAACAAGGTAACAATGTAGTAACCCAACAGGACACGAAGTGCATCCTCGTAGAGGTACAGCCTAGTAGACGTAAGCATGCTGGGGGTAGCAGTGGTGAATGAAACCAGTATAGTAGGGCCTGGAAAAGCGACACGGGCCCCCGTCAATGCTGATGATGCTGATGTTGCCGCATCATCAGCATAATTCAAGGGCCTAGTCTCCATTTGTTTGCGCCCCTGTTCCCTTTGGCTTGTCCTTCAGTCCGAATTCTTATTGACTCAGGCCCCTAGGGCAGGCCTCGGGGCTAGGATCCGTGCTCTTGACGTCTATTTGGGGGATCTTGGGACCTCAAAGATCCTTTAGAAATCCTCCCGTGTGCTGGGGAAGTTTAGAAAGCACGGGTGTAATTGAAACTGCCTTTAGGGTGGTAAAACGGACCCCCAATTGTGCTGATGATGCTCGTGTACCAGGCACGCGCGCGCCTGGTACGCGAGCATCATCAGCACAATTGGGGGTCCATTCCGACGCTCAAGTGATCTTTTGGTCGTTCGCACCTATTGTTGAGCTGTTCCAGCCGCTGAAAACGCAATCAGCCCCGCCAAAACGCCTTTCGAGTGATCCTCATTCTGCAAATTCAGCGGCACTGCCAGAAAAAACAAGCGTACAGGTATGAAATGCCTGCAAAATAATCCTCAAACATTCATGAAGCAGGCACGCGTGCAAGACCTGAAAACCCACATGCAAATCCCAAAAAGCCAGCACAAAACCTGCAGAAACCTGCATAAAGCCATCATAAATCTTGGAACCCATCGCCCCACTTATCAATAATTCTGGACAAGAATTTTCATGGCAAACCTTGTGAACCCCTCATAGAACTCGCCAAGACTCATGATAGCCTGCACAGTTCCAGCATCCAACCCTCAGGAATCCCGTCACGGCCCAGTGGGCACAGGCAGCCTAGAAGCCTGGCAGAAGGAGCAACGGGACCCCAACGATGCTGATGATGACGCCAAGGGGGCCGGCATGATCAGCATCATTGGGAGTCCGTTTCTCCAATTTCGGCCTCCCATGCACCCAATGACCCTTCATGGAGGCAACATTTCTCTCAGCCCTGCCCCAAGAAGAACCTTCAGGTTAGTTTTCAAAACGGTCCGTGCTCATGATGCAGATTTTGCGGGGTTTGGGGGACCCAGAACTTCAGAAATCTTTCCGTGCCGTGGGGATTTGCTTTTGGAGCGCAAAAAAAATGGCCGCTGTGAAGCCGGCATCCGGACTGCCTCAGCTCCATGCTGCAGGCTGATACCTCCAAATTAGTGAAACGGAGCCCCAATGATGCTGGTGATGCTGGCCAAGGGGGCCAGCATCATTAGCATCATTGGGAGCTCGTTTCTCCAATCTGACGCCTTCCAGTCCATGGCGAAGCCACGGCCAGGGCCTGCAGCAGTACAATGATGCCGGGGTTGTTTTTTGTTGTTTGAGCGGGAGAAGGGGGAAGCATTTTTTGTTGTTTGGGCGCAATGCTCAAACATCGCATGAAAGGTGGCACATGTTCTGATCTTTGTCCGCCTTTTGCAAGTGTGGGGGACTGCCCCTCCCCCACCACCCCCACCCCCCCACTCAATTAGTGTTCTTATTCTCGTGCTTACGATGATTCGTATTATTATCATGATCATTCATTACTATTATTATTCTGAATATTTGTCGATTATTGGACATTATGACTTTTAGTATCATGTTTTATTCATATTCCTGTGATTCGAGCTCTGCTGTGGAGCCTCTTGACATCTGGCTTGAAATCAAGTTCTGGTGTGAAGCGTTTTTGTTGAAAATGGAGCTCTCGCGTGGAGCGGAGCGTCCTCGCATTTTACCTTGAAACCCAGCGCTCGCGTGAAGCGTCCTGGGAGTGTGTTTTTTTGTCGTTTGGGGTGGGGGATGGTGGGAAGGTGTTTTTTTGGTTGTTTGGGCGGGGGGGCATAGCTTGGGTGCCTAAACAGGAAAAAAACGCCACCGCCAAAACATCCAAAAAAACACGGCCCAAACAGAAAAACTAAAGAATAACAAACACATCCCCGAACAAACAGCGAAAAACACCCGAACTGCCCAAACAACAAGAAAGACCACAACAACAAAAAACGTTTACCCGCAAGAAGCAACATTTTGTTTGACTATTGCACTTAGTCTTCTTGATATAGATAGGGATGCCTATACCAATAGCCTGGTGAATGCGTGTGTAGACGAATAACTGGTTCGGGTGAATTCGTGTAATGGTTATGCTATACAATCTCTTCGCTGCAATTGGAGCCTCACCTGTCACGCATGTCAATAATATTGGTTGCATTTCCACAGCCTCAGATGAGTCTCCTCCAAGTAGGCTGGGCCAGCTGCTGGGCCGTCCTCACCAATGAGAAATCTTCAAGGTTTGCAAGTCTCATGGCCCCCGTCACTTAATACCTTTGAGTTCAAAACCTTGATCATTCTTAAGACAAAAAGCGCGCGCCATCTCGGCCCAGCGGGTGGATTGGGGATCCTCACTGGTAATGGGGAAGGCACGGAGGGCGAGGCCAGAAAAGTGATTGATGGCTTCTTGAGCCCACCTTTTGGGGGAAGGCAGGCTTCTGTGGCTTTCCATCGTGCCCACCCACAAGCTACGCGTCAGCGTGGATGGCTTCCGGCCAGGGACGGATTCAGAGCCTTGAAGGTATTGTAAGTACTTGTGCTACCAAATGTTGTGTCATGCTTCTCATCTGAATTCAACTTTCTTACACCTGCTCTCATGCAACTTGTGCAAGACGTGGCTTCAAAGGTTTGCAAAGCTAGGCTCCGAATAGCACAGCTCATACAAGCTTGCCGGCATACTTACCTTGCAGAAAGTCCTTATCATCATATTCAATTTTCCAGATACAGAAGTTTGGAGAGCATGTGGTTTATGTGGCTAAGGACCATCCGGAGGCTGCGCCATCAGGAGTTGGCACTTCTTAGCCCTCAAGGCAGGAGATCTGTCAAGTGAATGGGGGGGGTCAGTGAGTGAGTGGTGAGTTTCTGATGGGCAGACACACTATGACCTGCCGCTCATGTACCATCTCGTACCTATCAATTTATCAGATGGTGGTTGAAAACGTTTGCAATTGAAACAAACTGCGGCAATTCAATGGTATCTACACACATGCATCATGTAGCGAGAAATTTGGTCGTAAGGAAAAGCTCTGACTATATAAGCAACAGAGGTGGCAACGGCAATGCATCAGCACAGTGACCAGCAAGAAGCAACGTCGTTGCACCACATGAATAGAACACACGCAGAACAGCCTTCGTTTTCCATGCAGCCGTACAATGACAAGCAGAAAACATGCACCAAAGGCCTTGGCACTCCTCGCACTGAGGGCCGAATAATGCATACAGCCGACCGTTTGTGCCAGCCATACCAACAGGCTATTTGACCAGTGAATCCTGACCCTCCACGTTCTGAGGGTTCAACAACATGCACAGCTAACGTGGCAGTTTCACAGGCCAATTGTCAGCCATCCTAGTACAAAGCAAACAGAAGACAGATTGTGTTAGTAGCCCTGGGCACACCTTTGTTGTAAAGAACTCCTACTCCTGCCCATCCAGCGTGCTGCGCAGAAAACGGGCTGGGTTCTTCTTCTTCACACCCTACTCCAGTTTCAGTTCGTGCAGCCTGTCGTTCAAAATTAAAATTATGACGCATGCCCTGGCATGGAAGCATGGTAAAACCCCATCAGAGAGAGCTTACTCAACAACTATCCGTTTCACAGGCGACGCAGCAAATGCTTCCAGCTTATTGAGGATACTTTTGCCGGAGCAGGCCTGGAGTCGGAAAACTGTGAGTTTCAAGTTCAGTCCAGAGACAAGCGCTTGTATGGAGCTTGTGACGTGGCAATTGTCAGACACATTGAATGCAACTGGCAGGCACTTTCATGCGAACTTTCAGGGCATCTGGATGCTCAAGGCTGGGGCATACAGAGTCACTGCATCATTATTACATTACAGAGTTTGCCAGTAAGAAATCTAGCGGCAATGAATGGCAACGGAGCCACGGTGCTATTTGCAAGTTGACCAGGCACAGAGGCAACTGGAAGCACGCAGAAAGCAAAAAAGCCTGAGCCCTAGATGGGGGTACAAATGTATCCTGGTCCTGGCATGCGCAAGTGTTCAGAGGGATTTTCATCAATCCTTCAGTTCAAGTTCCTGGAGCAGAGCTGCTTTGATTTTTACTGGCATCAAGACCAAAGCCTTATGCCTACTTTCATTTTCATTTTCCATCCTCATAATGCCAGAAGACATAGGCCACAAAGGACGTCTCCCAAATAGCCAGCTAAGGAAGAAAGGGTCAAAGCCGATTGACGACCAACTCCATGAGTCGGCCCCAAGCTTTGCCTTAGCGTCTTAGCAAAACAGGCCCGTCAGAGTAGGAGCAGGTATTGTTGCCGCACACTGAACTCTTATCATCAACGGTTGACTCTGAGTTGATAGATCTCGTTACCAAGATTTTCGATAACCCAGCCGGAAGAGTTAGGCCCCGCGCAAGCGACGTGTCCGCAAGTGGCCGCGCCGTTTTATTGAGGTAAATGTTCAGATAAAAAAGAAAATCGAGATCAATCGGCCTAGCCGACCCCGCGCCCCAACGCCAAGAGACTCAATGGAAGAATGAAAGCATCCAAGCAGATTTACACCAGAGCCACAAGAAGACTTTTTATCGAAAATATTCTTATCATAACGATCTCAACTTACCTTCAAAATTCTCCTCTTGATCTTCAATCTTTCCTCTGATGTTTGACTCTATTTTTTGGAATTAAGATCGCATATACCTCAATATTACGGCGCGGCCACTTGCGGTCATTTCGCTCGCGCGCGGCCTAGGTTTTCCGGCTTACCTTTGCAATGCCTCCTGCGGGCTCTCTAGGGCTCTAAAATCGCGGAGATTTTAGAGCCCTTCGGAAAAGCTAGAGGCTCTAAAATCTTGAGATTTTGATGCTGGCGGCGCGACCAAAAATCACGGAAAAATTTTTGGTCGCGCGGCCCTTGCCTCCGAAACGGTTTTCCCTGTGATTTATCTCTCTTTGGCTGTCTGTGCGGCTGCTCGGCGGAGCGCACAGACCCGGGACGGAGAAGCAAAATCGTTTAGAATTTATAGAATGGCCGTATCTGTCCACGGGGATTTATGCGCTCCCCCGAGCCGCCGCGCAGATAGACCAAGAGAGATAAATGAGGCGGAAAGACCGGGCTGGATGCGGGGGCCGCGCGACCCGAAATCTCCCGAGATTTCGAACCATTTCTCTGTCTTCCGTTGTCTGCGCGGCGGCTCGGGACCGACATCTAAAATCATTCAGAATCTATTAGGTTGGCCGTTTTTGGTCACGTGCGGTCTTATATATTGATTGTTCGTCGGGATTCACGTGCGAGCTTATATGTTCCACGTGATTTTTATCTCGCTTTGGTTGTCGGCACGGCTGTTCGGAGGAGCGTGTAGACCCGGGACGGAGAATCAAAATCTTTTAGCATTTATGGGTTGGCCGTGTCTGTTCACGGAGATTTATGCGCTCCCCCGAGCCGCCGCGCAGATAGCCCAAGAGAGATAGATGAGGCGGAAAGACCGGGCCGGATGCGGGGGCCGCGCGATCAAAGGGCCGCGTGACCTAAAATCTCCCAAGATTTCGAGCTATTTCTGTCTGTTTGGAACGTGAAGACCCGGGGCGGAGATCTAAAATCTTTCAGAATCTATAGGTCACGTGCGGTCTTAAAATGTTGATAGCTCATCGGGATCTTCTTTATTGTTTGGTCGTCGGATTTATATTCATTCTTTGCCCTAGCTACGCTTTGTCTCCCCTTTCAAAATTATTGATTTCTTAACTATATCTGGAAATCACTGAAGCAAATAAGGACTTGAGAAAATAGAAAAATGAAAATATATATATATATTCTAAAGAATAACAATCTGGAATGGAACGTAGAAACCTGGAAAAGACTAAAGCGAAAAATTACAGGCGCGAGGCTGAAATGGAACATCAAAAATGAGAGCAAAAAAATTAAATTCAAATATTTTCAGCACATGGGGTGACTTCTCAAATCGTCTAATGAAGCTGATATAGATCTGGAATGCTTCAGGTTTTAGGATCTTTTGGCAAAGGCAGAGATTCTAAAATCTCTGAAATTTGGGGTCCGAGGGGCGACTAAAAATCTCGGAGATTTTTGGTCGCGAGCATTCTTTTCTTTCTCTGATTTATGTATATCTCTCTGTCTATGCGGGGAGCTTTGAAATATCCGTAGGTAGGCACGATTTGTATATAGTTCTGTTTGTTTAGCTCTTTGTCTATCGGCAAATCGGAATGACCGTCAAGTAGTCAGGAAGCTAATTTATTAATCTCTCCGCATTTCGGTTTGTCGTTCTGATAGCTTGTCGATCTACGGGTTTATCAGTCTATTAGTCCATTAGTCGATCTAGTAATTTGATCCGAGTTTGGCGTGACACGAATTGCCGTTTCTTTTCTATTTAGACGCCCCTTGGCGTATGATTGATTATTTGATTGATTGGTTATCCATCTAATTTTTATCGATCTTTCAATCTATATTTCAAATAGATTAATAAGCAAATATCGATTATCGGGACGATCATAGGATATATTGGCAATTTATCGATCTCATTTTCTTCTCGAATTAATAGATTTCTTTTTTTTTATTGATATGCCAGCTTTTATTATTTTGATGAATTATGTCTTGAGGAATTCGTTATAAGAATTGAATGCGTATTTGATGATTCATGATTAGTGGATATTTAATATATTTTGATATCAAAATAAATGATATTTATTAGATATAATATTATTTGATTGATTTTTTGATTTATTATTTGATGATATTAAAGAGGCTACTTATTATTAGAATAATATGATTTCTTGGATTTAAAGAAAAATTAGAAATCGTTAATTTCATATTATTTTATATTATTTCTGGAGAAAGAGGCGGATTGGGATTGAATTTTTGGATATTTCTTTTGGAGAATATACTAATTTAATATTAATTATTCCAATTTTGAAATAATTGATTAGATATGAAAGGATTTTAGATAGATAAGATCTATTCGAATGGGAGAATAGGGCATGGGATCTAAAGGGTGGAAGGATGAATTTCGAAGAAATCAATCTTAAATTTCTATTGGAATTAGTGTTTTTGATTTTCTATTGTGCTTGATTAAGATATTTTTTTAATTATTCTTCTTATGATTATCTATTTTTTATAGTAATATCTAGATTTCATTTCAATTATTAAAGGATAAAATATTTTAGGTTTTATTTAGATTTATGATATTCTTTATTTGAAAAAGATTGGTAAAAAGAAATATTTTTCATCTATATATATGTATATATTCTACGTTTTATAAAATATATATTAAATAGGATAGAATAAATAACGAATTTTGAAAAGAATTATTTTCAAATATCTAAAATACGAGTCTTGGATTGAATAGTATGATTATGAAGGTAATAGGTCAAAAGATCAGAAAAGTGGGGAGAGGAGGGAGCAGAAAAAAAAAAGAGATTGGAAGGGCGGCAGGAAATAGACGGAATTTTTATTTTTTTGTTCGTCGCCCCTCTTTATTTTATTTTTTTGCTCCTCCTGTCCCATTTCCTAGTTTAAATATTTTCTGGGATTCAGGATGAACTTAGATTTGGAGCCCAGGTTGGAACCCAAGGGAAGGTTATTATGAAAATCTCATGGATCTTGTATTAGCTCGTAGGCGAAAGAGAAAACAGGGGGTGGTAAAGGGATTTTAATGAAGATTTTAAGATCTTCAGAGAGGTTTAAGGAATTCTTCAGGGAAAGGAGGTTATTATAAAATCTCAGGCCCTCTTGATGAGATCTAAGGCGAAAGAGAAAAAAGAGTGGTAAAGGCTATTTAGTGAAGATTTTTAAGACCGTAAGAGAGGGTTTAAGGAGGCGTCTTAAGGAGGGCTTAAAGGGATGAATCCAGATTGGAAACTAGGTTGGAATTTAGATTTGAACCTAGGTTGGACCCCAGCTTGGAATCCATGTTGGAACTTAGGCTGGAGTCCAGGTTCGGAACCCAGGTTTGAACCCAGATTGGAGCCGGCTCAAAAAACAAAATAGAGGAGACTCCCGCCCCTACCCCCGCGGGGGCGGCTGCGCCTCTCTCTCGAGCTCTCCGCTTTTTAAAAAAAACCGAATACGCACTAAGTCCCCCTTTTCACCCTTTAAGTCCCCCTTTAAGCCCCTTAACCCCTTCCGCCAGACCTCTAAAAAGAAAAGCCATCCGGCCCGATCCAGAGAAGTACAATTACCACTTCCTGTTCCGCCTCTTAAAGATTTGCCCGACGAAATGCCTGAACTAACGTCCAAATCGAAGAGTATTACCCTTCTGAAGAAGAATCCCAAGAAGATCTCCTATCAGATGAAAGAGAAAGTCGTCTACCAGCATTACGAGATCAAGATCTAGCAGAGGAAGAATGAGCTTATAGAAGAATTCGAAAGAAGGCAAAGAAGAAAGAGAAAGGAAGAAAAGGAGGAAAGAAGGAAGCGCCGAAAAGATAAGAAGAAGAAAAAGGAAAAGAAATCCAGGAAATTTCTCGTCATCATGGACCGCTCCGTATCAGGCCGACTACAAGTCCATGCCCTCTGGTCCGCAGGGGACAGGTTGGAACCCAGGTTGAATCTGGGTTCTACCCAAATAGTTGTTATAGTTGGGTTTGGGAACCTGGGTTCTAGGGTTGGTTGAACCCAGGTTCCGAATCTGGAATCTCGAATCCAGGTTCGAACAACTGTTTTTGGAGAAAGTTGTTCTCACTTGTCTGAATATAGCGGAAAACAGTGTCCAGTGTATGATGCTCATCACGATTTACAAGTGGAAACCTGTAGCACAGTAATTTAAGGTCGAATCTGAAGTTGGGGCTTCAAGGCGGCTTGAAGAAATTTAAAGGAAAATCCTCTAGGGTGGTAACTCTTACCAGATAAAGTAGGTCTTGCTGTCCACAGGTCACGTTGTCCATTCCTGAAGCAAAATGTGTAGTTATATGAAACGTTATTTTTAGAAATAACAGATTCATTCCACAAAATCGTTTGAAATGGAATTGGGCAAGATCATCTCAATATTTTCTTTTTTAAATTTCTTCAAACTAAATATGTGGGTTTTTCGCATCTTGTATTTTTTTCTTAAAAAAATAATACGATCAAATAGATCTATCATTTATTTAAAAGCGGTTATATTTTTTTGAAAGAGATCTCAATTGCGAATGCATTACGGGGGTCGGGCGATTTTCGAAATATATTCTAACTCGGAAAAGATCTAGAAAAAATCTAAAAGATTTCTAACTTAATCATTTTCTTAATTTCCGACGAAAAATTATGAAGATCTCAAAGCAAATTTCTGCCAATATA